ATCTTTTCCATTTGATTTAAAGTTACTATATTTGCATTTTGTTGACTTAAAGTCTTCTAATAGATCTGTAATTTATCCTGATGTTACCACAGATGATGTAGTCCAAAAATATTTAACCTAATTTTTTTTAAACTCTAAGCTATTAAGTTAAACTATATAACCAAAGCCACTGACTTAAATACTGTAATGCAAAACACATTTTGTTTTTTTGCTTTGTCCCCTTCTGCCCAGTAGCAGAAGAGGAAGGTCTAGGAAACCATTTCCTACATGGATCTTTCCGAAGTTTAACTCCATTCCTCCTGTGCTCTGTTCACCAGTGACTTCATAGTGCATTATAAAAGGGACAGGAGAATAGTAGGATATTTAGATTTAATTTATACCATAGGACCTCTGTAAGTTGACCACCCAAGGGACTTTAACAACCTAGTCAACATACAGTGGTGGTCAACATAAAGAATTAGGCCTGCTGTACTGATGTACATGTTGGCACATGTCCTGTTTATGAAAATTATGTCACTTTAAGGAGGTGATCAATGTAGGGAGGTGGTCAACTATGGATGGTCTACTACATATTATTTAATTGGTATTTGTGATTAATACATAATCAGATATTTTCATTCAGGAGATGGAGTCTTACTGACCTCATAAAATTTTTTACCTTCTTTTAAAGACTGTAATTCAATAGGGATATTTCATCTTTCCTGACAGAAACCTCACTATAGAAGAAATAAAAGAACTATATAGTATTCCGTGACTTTATACACTCAATTTCTTTGAAAACTACTTTAAGCATTATAGGCTTGATCACAGACCTATAATCTATTGATGAAAGATGCTGATAAGTCTAAGGGCTGCTTGTAAAATAAGTGAATTCTCTCCCATCACAATGTGTAAGGTGAGGCTCAGAAAACTTATGCTACGAATATCATGCAGGGAACACTTCTGGACTCTACCAAAGTACAGCTCTCAAGACCAAGACTGCATTTCATAAGCCAGAATGATTTTAAGAGGAGGCAATTATTTTAAGTTTTCCTTTCTATTCTTAAAATGTGTTCCGCTGAGGAATGTTTCATACAAGTTATTTCTGAGTCTTAAGTTTGATACCCCTAATGTGTGCCCCAAGGATATATAGTAAGACTTAGGAGCAGACTTTTGTTCTCTTTCTCTGGCTGATGAGGACACAGACATTGATGGTATTGTTTTTAATTATGTTTCTTAAAATAGTAATTTACATAATTTATTTGAAAGTTGTAAAAGTAAAGAATGTGTTCAGGAAGTAAAATATAGGGGCAGCTCAAAAGAGTAGGGCATCGGCCCCATATACCAGAGGTGGTGGGTTCAAACCCAGCCCTGGCCAGAAAAAAAAAAAAAAAAAAAAAAAAGAAGACGTGAAATCTCAAACAGATGTTTAGGCCCACAAGTTCACGTACCATTTTAACAAAGGGTAGTAAAGAGTGAATAAGCAGCTAGACAAAGGGATTTGGCCCCAGGAATGAGTGAAGTTTGGGGAAGGTGACCAGGAAAAATATAGTCCATTATGCAGATTCAAAACCTCTCCAGTGATAAGAGTTGTGTCCAGTGTGTAAGGAAGAAAACAACAGCCTTACTCATGCAAATTTCCTTTTCAAAAGGAGATATTCATGCCTTTCTCTAAGGCAGAAGCAGGGAGCTCAGAGCCCTCTTTCTGCTCAAAAATTATCCTGATTCCAAGATGAAATAGCTGAGGCTGCCCAGTGTTCCCCTTCAAGGGAGAGGGGAGGGAGTTTTCAGGAAAAGCTGAAGTTTTAAATATCTGGGGCAAGGAGAAGGTGAGCCAGGGAGGCGGGGAAGGGAGGGATGCTTGCTCCTGCGAGGGAGCCCTGTAGAGCCTCCTGAGTGGCGTCAGGAGGTCACCTAGATGTTGACCAACTTGCAGTCTGTGAAAGGTCCCACTTTGCCCCATGGATCAGAATCTGCCTTTAAGCAAGATTGCAGGTTCTTTCTGTCCACAGGATAGTTCAGGAAGCATCCTATTTCTCCTCCTAAAGCTTTTGAACAGCCACAGAGGGGGTCAGTAGCAGCGGGGGGGAAACTCACCACTGTGTCAGAGGAATGGTGGGTGTGAATTCAATCTTATTTTGGGGCTCAGGATTGAAACCTGTGGTAAACAGCCCCTATGTAAGGGCGTCATGCCTCAAATAGGAGCTTTGTGTGGGCTTAGAGATTCCAAATGTGAGTGTTCCTCTGACCTGTTGAGAGAGGCAGTCTCACTTTATGATGCTTAACTTAATTACATCTAGAAAAAACCCTTCCCAAGGAAGTCTAGGGAGAAAAAGAAAAAGCCTTTTTTCCTACCCTCTTCTATTCTGTGATGGGGGCCTGCTAATTAAATTGAGAAAAGATAGACAGCCCATGGGGAGGCTGCCTGGCTGTCAGAAAAGTTCTCTGGGGGGATACGAGATGGGTTCACTGGGCTATGTCTCCACTGGGATTGAGCAGGAATGTTTTGTCCCAGCAGGAGTGGATCAAAGACACCCAGAACGTGGCCCAGCTGAATAAGATGGGGAGTGGCGGGGAACAGGACTGTGGCCCCGAGGATGCCCTGGTGGTCCAGGTGGCCAATGTCCCCAAGATGATGGGTACTGTGTGCCCGAAGATGGGGGACGGGGAGTCCTCTGGGGATTCCCTCCAGTTCCCTCACCAGCTACCCAAAGGCGGCGACGTGGTCTCCCTTGGGGGATTCACATTCGTGACAAGTGACAACTCCTACGTGATGTTATGAGGGCGGCACAGCCTCCAAGACCAACATCAGGACTTTTGTTGCTGATCAAGGACTGAGGGGAATATCCTGGGGCCCCAGGCCACCTGGACCAGCGACACTGGGGGCTGGGGTCCTCAGAGACTGAAGAATCCCCCAGGCCAGCTTTCATGCCATCGCCATCTCTATCTCAGGTCTTGGGGGTTGATTTGGTGCAGGTGGGACGTGATTGTCGGAGGAGATATTTCTGTCACCTTTCATGTACATTCTAAGGCAGCATCTTGTGAAGTGAAGGAGACTCTTAAGGTCCCCAGCCTCCCTCTTGGCCAGGGACACCCCACAGATACCCTAATACTAAGTTGCAGTCATGAGAAGGAAGGTCAGACCGGCCTTGTCATGTCCCCCTGGAGATGTCTTCTGTGACTCCCCAGCAGGCAAAGTCCATGGAAAGTGCAAGACAAAGCTTAAAGCTCACCTTGCAGATTATCCCTTAACCTAGCGGGTCACTTGTGTCTGGGTGTGTGTCCAGTGATTTGTCTCCAATTAGTTTATCTTAACACTTTCAGATCTTTAGACAAAGCCACTTTTATTTTTTTCCTTTTTTTTTTTTTTTAGACAGAGTTTCACTTTGTCACCCTTGGTAGAGCGCTGTGGCATCACAGCTCACAGCAACCTCAAATTCCTGGGCTTAGGTGATTCTCTTACTTCAGCCTCCTAAATAGCCCTAGAGGCACCTGCCATAATGCCTGTAGTCCCAGCGACTCAGGAGGCTGAGGCAAGAGGATCCCTTGAACCCAAGAGTTTGAGGTTACTGTGAGTGATGATGCTGCGACACTCTACTCAGGGCAACCAAGTGAGATTCTGCATCCAAAAACAAAGAAAGGGAAGGGAAAGGCTTGC